TATGGAGATCATTGCTCAATAACCACAGCTTTTATTTGGCAATAGTTATTGAGACCTGGAAGGGTTTTTCTAGGCTCAAAAGTTGGCTGTTTCTTGTAGCGATGTTTTCAGTTGGGTCGTATGGATTATTTCATGTTATTAGAGCTGAATGCTAGTTATCTACCATTTCAGATTTGCTAGTTTTTTTTAATCTTGTAGCAATGTATTTGTATGCTGTAACCTATAGCAAAATGCCATTGTAATGTTCATGTCGGGTGTACCCACTGTGAGTCTCAGATTTGTATTACTACCTGGGGAATGCGTCTGAGCTCTTTCCTTTTTAAGCCTAGTTGAAGGAGTGCGTCCAGATGCATTACTTTCAAATCTTATTCTCAAATGTTTAGGTGGAAATGATGTGCGATCATTTTAACCTGGCCTTTATGTGTTTGACTGCAATTCAGCCTACATGGTGCCATGAGACAAGGGTGAGCGGATGCTTCTACTTTTACAGCCAAAGTATACATATCCTTCCAGAAAGAAAGAACTCATCTTCTGAAGCAGCAGGTAAATAAAAGAATATGGGTAAAAGATTTGTGGAGAAATGGGAAAGGACATTTAATATATTTAATCTTATTATACATTTTTCTACATTAAAGTCAACAGGCTGCAAATATATTTTGCTACAAAGCTTTTTGTAAGAAATATCTCTATAAGAAAATACATCTCATTAAACATTTCCTGTAAATAAATTATCACACAAAACTGTGTTTTGTAAGAGGAGAAGGGAGAGGGTCAGGCTAATGATAATAAGAGCCAAAAATTGCTGAGCCCATTTCTGCAACCCCACAGCTCCATTTGGATTACACTTTCTTGTACACATAGTTGCAATGAAGGCAACAGAGCTCCTCTGCTGAGCGTGTGCTCTCAGTGTAAATAACACAGATTTAGTTCCCATACTTTTTTAATATCTTGAAATTATGCTGTTTCTGAACCTTATTCCTGTTTTAGGTACACAAGAACTCCTTTGAAATAACCAAAGCGGAGCTGGTAGGACTCTGATTGAAGTCTGAGGCTGTTAAAAAAAAAAACCCCAGAACAGTCCCTTATGGTAATTAAAAAATAACTCCAGTAAGGTAAGAGACTTGTGAATTATTCTTAATTTTCTTTCATAAGAGTCTAAAGGCAATGTATTCTTATTAGGAAATCTGAGCCTCAGTGGGTGCATAAAACAACCACTGGTAGAGATGTATCAGTGGAACAAAGTGTTTTAGGTACAGGATGACATGGTCTCAAAACTACATATTGGTGTATATATGTTCAGAACTGATGAAACAGAAAAGTCTTGTGTGTTACAAAATGTGAAACTAAGTAATTACAAATGGGTAATTACAGATTAGCAGTAGGTCAGTTATAGAACCAGACTTCTTAAAAGAAATAGACTCTTTATCAACATCTATATAAAGGAATTACTTGTGAACAAGTAAAATGGACAAAAGTTTAAAAAGAACTGTGAGAAAAAAAGGATAGTCTCCATCCTCCAACTTCTAACTAACTGCTACACAAACAACATAGAGTTGTTTCCATAGTCCAGATACTTCCAGAATTCCTGACAGAAAAATCCAGAGAAGATCCCTTTAGAAAAGATCAAGTTCATGTTAGATACATGCTAGAAACTGGTACGCTGCATCATCACATGATGCATAATAAGTCTTCTGTGGCTCTACCATATTTTCTTGCATTGTTTTCTGCAGGAGAGGAAGTGCTCACAAGAGCCAACTCTTTTTTTTCTCTTTGCTACCTCTAAAAAACAAATCCATTTGCAGAATGCAATCAGATTTAGCATTAATAGCAAAGTGTAGCCCATTGCTACTATTGAAAAGTAAAACTTTGAGTTTATAGCAGTACAGTCTAAATACCCAACAAGCGCCTACATCTTCTGGCACAATTTCATCTCTCTTAGTGTTAGATATTCAACACTCCACTATCTCTTTGGAAATGTCTATAATGCAGGTATGTTTAGGAAAAGAAAGTATATTTAGGTCTAATGAGCAACTGCCTGTATATAATTCTGGATTCAGCATGCATGTATTTGTTTCATCTGTTCAATCCAATGTACACTAGCAGTAAACCGAGACAAATACAAGCGATTAAGTGCCCTACTATGACAATGAACTACATAAAGCATTTCAGTTCACCTAAATATAGGAAAGAAAACCCTGTTTAAATGACTCTGATTAGAGAAACTGCTTGCTGTCTTGAAATGATGAGATGGCAAGTTTTCACCTTTTTGTGAGGGCCTACAAAATTTAGAACTCTTGTAGCAGTCTTGCAAGCATGCTTTCTTTGCTGAAGTGTCAGCCCTGCATGACAAGTGTATGGAGATTCACAGTAACTGTATTTCCATCCCTCGCACCTGCAATGTATAATATTTTAGTCACTGACAATGTGTTGACAGACAAGTCTTCCTGGAATGCACTGCTTCCTATAGGAGTATAACGTATACAATTTATTTAGCAGGCATTGCCATGGTGGAAAACCACTGTAGCCCTTATACTGGCCCCTGGAACACCATGGGACAACACAGCAAGGTAAATGGCATTAATTTCCACTGTACTTATTTGCATACTAGCGTTTCCCACAAACTGTACGAGTTATTTACAGAAGAACTGCACAGTGGGAAATCTCCGGCTGCTCCGGTGTTTTCCACCAGCTCAAAAAGAAATGCATTTGATCTGACTTTTTTCTTTCTACTCCTACCTTGTTAATTTAGCCATTCCTCTTTCACATGCAGTCCTCATTTCCCAACATACTGTAACACATTAAATACAGAAAACCAGTCACTTAGTACTATCTACCCTTCAGATTTTCTGACACACATGAAGTCTTGATTTAGAAGAAGAGGTTGCATCTTTCCATACTTTGCAAGACAGCCCTTTGGCACAGTCACATCGTTGGAAAATCTCTAGTCCATGGGAGCCTTTCTTGCGCTGTTTGGTGCACACCTCCCCCTGATGCAATACAGGCTTGCAAATTTTGGTCCAGAAATGGCGAGCACAGCAGTGTCCCTCAATACAGTCTGATGAGCGCAGGCAGGGATCGCCTTCATGTCCTAAAAAGAACACACTGTTTTACCTCAGGGGAAAATGGAAAGGGACAAATTCAGTGTAGACTGATGCAAATGAAGCTCAGAAAAAGGAGAGATGACATTTCCATCTGTGGCTTTTTGAACGACATAAACACAAGAAAAGAGATGAACTAGGGAGGTTCAGAAAAGTAACTGTTAAGAACTGCCAGAAGACTTAGTAAGGAGAAATTCAGCTACAGGTTTGTAGACAAAATGACAAATGCATAATGACATTACTCTTACAAGAGGAGGATGTGCACAATCTTGTAGAACTGAAAAATGAATTTTCATTCCCCTCTAATACAGGGCAGAAAGCAGATGCTATTTCAATCAGAGGAAATTGGTGGTCAGTATTACCTCGCTTTTAAAACTGTGCTCTGAATTCTCTTAATAGAGATTCACAACCTATGAAATTACTATGTATTGCTGGTGTGTGCTGCTGTATTTAAATAGCATAATGTTATTGATAGCAGAACGGTGAAATGCAAATGTGATCTTACCTTTAATGTGTGACAGCTTAGACTGCGCCCTCCCTAAGTTTTGCCATCCCAAATCCTTGCTAGCATAATGACTGTTCTTCTTGTTGCGTGGCCCATCTAGTGCAGGGATGTGAGGTGTGAGGATGTTTTCAGTTACTGGTACACAAATACCTGTGAGGAAAAGTCAGTCAGTCATAGATTTCAACAAGAGGAGAAGAAGCTGAGGAACATACTTGGACCAGGATCAGTATTGAGACCATTAAAGTGAGGGTGGTGCTGGGCTCAGCTTTGGTGACTTTCAGCTCCGTCACTGATCCCTAGCCTGTCTTCACTACAGCTGCATTTCACTCCCTATCACAGAGTCTTGCAGTCCGACCTCTTGGAGGTGTCTCCAAGACAGTCTCCTCAGGTCTCAGGAAAAGAGTATGGGAATGCAAATAGGACAATTACAACAGAAACCCCAAGAGGGAGTAACTCAGGGATTCACTGTGTCTATTTTGCTTCCTTAAGAATATGCGTTCTTTGCAGATTTCCAGAGAATTGAGCAACACTGAAAGTAGTGCTGGAAAAATGCTGCGATTTCTGTCTGTGGCTTCGTCATTTGGGGGGTTTCTCCACAACAAAAGAGGAAAAAGTCTAGTAGTACATAGGCCTTAATCATAAAAATACTATTAAAGAAAGTGGAGAAAAAAATTAAAGATACATTAAAAAACAATTAATTGCTAATGGAGTAGAAGAAATGATAACTATGGCTTCAGGTATGGGTGTGCTTCAGGGAGAGGAGGAAGGCAAAAGAGGCAGGGGAGACTGAACAGCCTCTAGCATGGCACAGCTCTTGGATTTTGGCTCACAATGTACTGTCTGTTGGAGCTGATTCTCTTTTCCCTCCTCTCCTCTCTTTCCCTCTCCTTCCAAGCCTAGCACCATCCAGTTCTACATGAATATGACAGCCATGAATCCAGTCACTCTAATTTTACTCTCATGTGGCCAATATTTCTACTTGGCAAGTTCAGCACCAAATTTCCCTTGTCTGACAACACAATGGATAGGTAGCTTTGGTTACTTATGCAGTTTTGAAAATAAGATCTTAAGTGTTTTTTTGAAACAGAAGAAAAAGGTCATTGAACAACTTTTCTTAGCCAAAGGAAAAGGAGGAGGACAAGTGAAGCTTATAGCTGATGTTATTTTCAATATCTGAAGGGATTTTATCTTGGTTTAGAAAAGGAAATGCAGTCACACAGAAAAAATACCTCTGCTGAGAACACTCGGAGATCTATTTTCAGTAGACACTATCAAAATGCTGATTTTTTTTTTTTGAGGGAGAAGAAGAAATGAACGACATACCGTTGTTGCAGCGATTCCCCGGGCAGCACATGCCATCTCTGTGGCACCGTTTCTTCTTCCTCCGGCATAACATGCATGCAGACGATGCTTGATGAGGACTGTGACAGTACCGCCCAACCTCACATTCCTTGTCATTGGTGCAAGGATAGACCTGGAGGATAAAATAAAAAGTTTGCAGTGAGACAGTATATATACTATATGCAGTATAAGACATGCACATAGTACATTAAAAAAAAAAAAGTTAAAGAAACATACAGGTGAGTTACCATTCACTAGCAGATGCATTTATCTTCACAGCAGCCTTGTCCTTGGGCTCAAGCTGCTGGTGGAGCTGGATCACTGCCTCAAGCATGACAAAACTACAACCCGTTCCTTTGGTGGTTTCATCTTTTCTTGCCTTAAATATATGCTGTCACAACAGAACTTATATTTTTGTAGGTTTCAGGATACTTGGGCCTCTCATTCATAGACAAGAGTTTAAAATTCCACAATGAAGAGAAGCAGAGCCAGTCACTGAAAGCACACTCTGCAACAGCTAACATTTGCATTTAGATCGGAACTCCAAGGAGGCATTTTTCTTTGACAAGTGCCAGACGGGATAAGAAATTCACATTCTCACAGTGAACGTAGAATCATAAATGTTGATAAAGACCAACCATCAACCCATCACCACCATGCCACGTCCCTCAGTGCCACATCTCCTTGTACACCTTCCAGGGACAGTGACTCCACCACCCCTCTGGGCAGCCTGTTCCAATATCTCATCTCTCTTTTGAGATGAAATTTTTCTTAATATTTCACCTGGACCTCCCGTGGCACAACTGAAAGCCATTACCAAGTTGTGCCAGCCTATGAATTTTGAGGCAGTCCACGTCTTCACCAGATTGGTGCAAGCTTCTTCTCAATTGTACCATTCCACTCCAACCCCTACCATTCAGACTCTTTGGAAGTGAACAAATATCTCTAATTAGCAGTTAGCTTTGATAGCCTTTACTTCATTTAAGTACAAACTATTCTCCTTAAGCTTACCAACTGCTGAACAACATCCCTAACATATATATCACAAAATCTCTTGTACATATAATTGCCTGAAAGCACAGACACAGATAAACCAACGTTATCCTGTAGAAAAATTGACAGTTTCCTAAAAAGAAGATATGAAGGCACTGTATTCTTCCATTAAGAAGAGAAAGGTATGTATTCCTACAAAACAAGAAAATATGATGCTTTAAGGAGACATAACGACACCACCATTTTCCAGGAACCCTTTTGCTGAATCCCACACAGCTTCAACTATGCTCCCTGTCTGCATCTAATTTTACTGCCCGTTAAATCAATCATAGATTTTTTCCATTTCTCAAAATTATCCTTGAGGAATTTGTTTAGATAAAAAGATGAGAATAATTTTGGGCATTTTCTGGAAAATGTTTACACCTCCTCAATTGATTTTCTCCAGCATTTTAAATGAATCAAAGTGTTGCTTTTGCTGTTTTCAAAATGACTACTTCAATTGTGTATTCAACACAAACAAAAATCTCAATTGACCAATTTTCAACATGGAATGCTTACTTTTAAAATATTTTTTAATCAAGTCTTGATTATACTGCTCTCAGTAAAGGAAAACTTGGATGATGTTGAGAATTTGCTATGAAAAGTGTTCTTTTAGATGGAGGAGGGCCTGTTTCTCTGTCTTTCTGCTATTCTCTAGAAAACTGGAGAAGAAACAAGAGGTCAGATAAAAACACACTAGTACCTTTAGCTGGGGAGAACTATGCTGTTTTCCTTATGATTTCATTAATTGTATTCTTTTTCAAAATTTATTTTACAGTAACTAAAGAGCTGGCTGGATATTTCCAGAGTGCTGCTGTTCCATTACTTCTGTCCTATGAATATCTGCATCTCTGAAGAATGAATCGAGAGCGCAGCTGTTTGGAGAACTTGACGTATGTAAAAGACTCTCTCCCTTAAGAATAAGTATTTCCTCTCATCCTCATTCATCAAAGAAGGTCAAATCTTTTAGCTAGGAGCAGTGATAAGAGACAAATGCAAATGCTCACCTTTGTGGTACTCTCAAGGAATAATTGGATTTTCCTTGTTCTAGCAAACCAGACCTAGATAAAGTGCTCTCCCTTCAACCTTATTGGTCCTTTTCCTCATTTTTCCCAGCAAGAAATAATTAATCCAAATGAACAATTATAATATGATTGAATTGAACCTTACTAAACAAAACAACAGAAAATTCAGAAAAATTTTGTATGGATCTGTGCCTGGTTTTACTGAGTTTGGAAAATATTAACACTGCTAGCAGGGGAAAATGCAAATAAAAAACAGATGAACAAGCTGTAACCTGGAGATGAAGGCATTTTATATCCTTGTCTGTCATCAAGACCTTCATAACCGCATCTTTTTTCCAATATGGGCATGTGGTATACACCTGCAACTTGTCAGCAAGAAACCTACTTGCAGTTTTCTTTGGTTCCTCAAATAGCTTTTTTTAAAAAGCTGATCCTAAATGGCGCTAATGAATATCTTGCATACCATATCTACTGTCTGTTTTACTTTTGGCTTTTAGGCTGAGTGACATTTAAATGATACACCTAATTGCTAGATCTCAACTCAATCTTTAGGAATGGTAGAAGTTACATAAGATGCTTTAAAAATTGCTGAGATTAGAGACACAACTCATCTTTAAGTCTAACTCTCTGGCCCTAGCCTAAGTAAAGAAGACATTTCTGAAATTAAAAAGTAATCCAAAACATTTACCTACCTAAGGGAAATGACAGCATACCCACAAATTGTCTTGTGTTACATGCAGCTTGGACAAAACTGTCAAGTCCATTCAAAACTCTAAACAACCAGCTGCCAGCCAGCTCCACGAAAACCCTTCCTGCGAATTGCCTGATGCCATCAACTGCCTTGATCTTTCTTCCAAAACCATCATCTATTTGATATCCTAGTTATCAGTCACAGGGAGCTTTAAATAAAAATGCCTACACAGCCTTGTCTCTTAATCAGTAGACATTCATTAGAAATAACTCACGCCTTTTGTGATGCAATTAATCTATCCTCACAGTATTCAGTGAAATACAAAAACAAAACAAAATATAGCGTACCTAGTCTTGTCTAACAGCAGGGAAAACATGTTTATATTTGTCTGGTTGTCAGTAGTAGTTGAGCATGTTTGTATAAATAAGTATATATGTTTTAAAATACAGGAATAAGAAAGTATATTTGTAGAAAAGCATATACTAGCAATTGTTCATGGACAACACAAGGTTTTCAGAGTTTCCTACCTCAGAGTCTAAAACACAGTCTTTACATTGAGAGAATAGCAGAGAACATTTCCTATATGCAATGCAAAGACCCAAATCAGTCCCAGATGGAGAGGGAAAAAGCAAGCTGTAAACCAGCTCTACTTCCCCAGCAATGATAACTAATTCTACAAGGCACTTCATCCTTTCACATTCTTCAGCTATACATATCATTTTCGGGTCGTAAATCTCTATTCACTAAACATGGCTTTGATATTATGGGAAACCAGATGAAACTGAGATAAAATATGCAGCACTCCCTGAAGCTGCATTTAAGCAATCTTATTTATTTTTTTAGCCCAGATTACAAGCAGTCATGTTGTTGTAGCATGGTATAACCTACATTTGCCTGTGATATTCATATTTTCAGATTGTTTAGTCTGATGAAGAGCACTGAAGAAGTAAGATGCTTTATCCTCAGTCATTCCAATTAGTTTTGTATTCTTCTGTAGAAGATAGACACTGAAATGGTGCTGCTCTTTCTGAGCCAAGATGTCCACTCTACATCTATTGACCAAAGCTAACCTTTGCCAGCTAGAGCAGCACACAAACATAAATCTTTTCTTTTTAACAGAAAGGGAATACGAAACTCCATTCCTGTCCTTCCTAAATTTACACTCAAAAGAGCAAAAGCACACTACAGAACTATAGAAAATGATGCAGATGACAGAAGGAAAAAACTGTTTTGTTTAGTTTTTTCCAATCCTTCCAGGATTACTACTAAGGCACTTATTCACTTATTTCTGCATTAAATTCACAGTGAGGTTGAGGAAAGGGGTGACTGTCTAGCTTTCATATCCACCTAATGCTGTTCCTTTAATTTGCAGAGTGAGGTACAGAAGTGAGGTTTATTTTTACCTTTGCCTTCCCCTCTTGCCAGAGATCTAATATAGCACCTTTTCTCAGCTAACTGGCAATGAGGCTTTCTTGATAGTTTTCTTGGAGTCATTTACACTCCTGCAAATTTTATGTGGTCACCCTGAACCACAGAGTTTCACCACAAGCTGAAATAGCACAAGTGCTGGAACCATTGTGCTGTGGAGTCAATCAGCCCCAGTCTCTCTGTCTGGCACTACAAAACGTAACGCAGAAGCACAAGGGAGGAAGACAGATGCTGTAATGTGCTGAAGGGTGAGTGAACAGTCTGATGGCAAGCACTTTACTGAGCTGTGGGAGATAAGGGTTTGAATTTCAGCTTGGCCTCCAGCATATATTTGAAAACAGTATTCCCAGCCAGCGCCTTAGTCACCAGGCTCTCATTTGCTTGTATTATGAGGTCTCATTTGTTTTCATGCTAAAGCTACTCCACACTGTACTATTAAGATACGTCAGAGAAAAGCAGGAAGAGCAACTGGCATTTTCACCTAAGCTGTGTCATCACTTATCTAGCACAAGTAGTCCTAAACACTGCTGGCTTCAGATCTACCTCCAACACGGAGAAGAGCTGTGCCTAAAGAAGATAGAACAGATATCACTGCCTGTACAGCTAGAAAGTAAGAGCACTACAAATCTACCAGGTCAACCCTTCATTGCATACACAGTTGTCAAAGGGTAGCAGCTATCGCAAAGTAGAGACAGAGGGCACGAGGAAAGGGACACACAGATTATCCTTGGAATAGCCTTGATTCCTAGGTATCAGCACATTAGAAATCAAATTTTGGCAACTACTCACAGGCTTGTACATCCCTTGTCACTCCCTAGTTACTAATACTCCGTGCAAATATCTATACCAGTAGGTTAGGCAGTCACATCCATAAATGCCTTTTTCTGCTGTTAAAAATAAATAAATAATCTGTTTTTAGCTCACCTAGATTCACACACCATGTTTGTGAGACAGTTT